GTGGTAGATCGAGAATTTAGGGGTCGGGTTGAACTTGACTCAGGCCTGCCGTGCTTAAAACAAGACAAAAATGAAAACAAAATATTGCATGTGCTCAGACATACGGTGTCGTTTTACTTTTATATGTATAATGTATAGTTGAACCCATAGCAACTTCAAGTTTTTTGGGTTAGACAAATTTGAATTAATTAAATGTATTTAAGTTGTGTGAAATTTATTGTCATTTGAGTTTAAATTGCAAACTTATCAAAAACTAGGGTAACTTTTTGAAACCTTGATTGATAACCATGATTAATTAAGGGCCCGTTTAGTTAGTTGATTCGAGTTTTTAATTTAAGTTGAGATGTGACTTTATAGGAGAACTTTTTACTGTAATAAAAAAGTTAGATGTGACTATTTCTGAGAGTTTTTTATTATAATAAAACTCAAATCGGTGAAATGAACGGGACCTAAAGCTCTACTACTACTAGACAAATGTTGCCAATTACTAAAGGCCACGTCATCAAATTCACTCTCTCATACCAATCAGAAAATATTATCCCCTCCTTCTCTTCTCTCCATACATTGTCTCCGTTCTGTTAACTATCTCGAGCTCTGCCTTGGACACGGTACTGTACTTGGAATGCTCTTGAAGAGCTGAGTCTGAAACTGTGCCGAAATACACCACAAAATTGTTTGTTTGGTTCCAAAAATTTGATAAACTCAGTGTAATCCATTTCAAAAAAAAATTTTATAAAACTTTTTGCTCTCATGATGCTATTATAACAAACAGATCCTAAATGCATATAAAAATCACTTTTTAAAATTGATATTTTTAAAGGAAGAAGATTATACGGAGTAACTCTAGGATTTTTCAGTTGAAGAAAAGGAATACATAATGCGTAAATTTAAGAAGTCAATATTAAAGAAGTCTAAAAAAGGGGGTCATTGGAGGGTTGCAAACAAAATATTGAGATGCTTGTAAAATATGAAAGATCACATGTTCTTTTATAGAATATTCGACAATTTTAAGGTGAATAGATATTTCTTATTTAGATTTTCCTAGACGTATTGATACCAAAAAAATCAACATTTGCCTAGTTGTTCCTTTTAGCTAGAGGAGCAATCTCATAGAAAAATGTTAAATAATTTCTCATTGTTGTCGTAGTACATTTAGTTGGTGGATTCGTGTCATGATTCGATACAGTATTTTTTTTTTATAAAAAAATATACGTAAATCGAGAATAAATCTGAATCATAATTCTAAATTTATAAACTAAACGTTACTGTAAAAGACTTTGAGACCACTGTTCATAGGTTATGGTTACGGAGCTTCATTTTAGGACTTAGAATTGTCAGTGGTATTGTCTAGCTTGCTAAAATTGTGATCATTACGTAGCAGTCTTCTTTTAAAAACAAAATGACGAATATTCAAAGTGTTTTAAACCTGTGAATGTGAAAAACTTTTTCGTTAAAGAAGAGTTTCACAAATAAAGAGTGTCCACCTAGCACATTAGCACCACCCTTACTATTACGGATCTCATTAACAAAATGATTGCTACCAAAAACATTTATTAATCAACATGTCAGAGAATGGGCATGATTTCAGTATTGACGTTATATTGAAGCTCTTTGATTTTTTATGTTTTTGATATTCTGAGCTCATTTGCGCATTATACATCTTAGTATATTTCGTCGGTGTTTATATATTAATGTGTCACAAAAGCATTATCGTTAGACCATTATTATACTTTCCGTTACAATCATTTTGAATATAGAACTGATATTTTGATGCATATGATCTTTATTAGTTGTTCCTTAATAGTTATATATGATGTGGCCAATAAAAGAAAGGATTAGCTTTATAATATGCCCGTTATGTTTTGTTATTATAAGTAATTATACAAACTGATCACTTATATACTCTATGTTGAGAATTTATCTTTAATTTAACAATATTATTAATACGTTTAAATTATAGATATTGAGATAATATTATTTTATATACTTTTTTTGGGTGGATGATTATGGGTGGTTAACAAAAAATAGAAATATCATTATGGGTTATTTTATAGATTTATGTGCATTATGACAGCTTGTGGACATCCATTTTTTCTAACTCCTGTATAATAAACGTAAGGACAAATTACATTTATTTCTCTTGAACTATAGGCGTTTGAATAAAATACCTCCTACACTTTTAAAGTAACAAATTTTCCCTCTGAATAATTTACCGTTAGCTCGTGTCCTTCTTATCGGAGACAAGAGCTCTATTACTCTTAAGTCAGTTCCACCGGCAACTTTAGATGGCTTAATAGCGATACCAACGCTTCCGATAGTTAACCCGTGAACTTTTCTCTTTTGACATATCTTAGACACTAAATAGGAGTAATTAATTTTCAACTTTTGAGACATGTAAATTATTGCGCTTTTCATGTATTCTAATCATGGGGAAAAACAAATAAAAAATTAAGTGCATTGTTGGTGGCTTCTAAGAATGTATTTTAATTATTTTCTCTTATCACTAAACTTTTTTTTTTGTTTTGTAATGATTGCTTTTATGTTACGAAATATAAAAATTGACATCTCACAATTCTAAATTATTCAATTACTAAGAACATATTGACAATAAAAACTCATTACTTGTTTGATTTCATTTATAAAACAACAATAGACAACATTTACCGAATGTTAATAAAACAGAAATAGCAACATTTACCGAATGTTATGTTAATGATTTTTAATGACAGCATATGAATGTCACGGTATCTAAATAACAATAATGCTTTTATCATTCTTCATCACGACATTATTGAAATGTTGTAATATAAAAGCGGCTTTTCCGGTGGTGCCTAACTATTTTTATGGGAGAAATTTCCCACATCGTAAAAGGTTAAATGATTAGCGTAATTCTCTTGTATTAAGTGTAACAATTATTATTTTAAGAACTAGAAGTCATTTTAAGCATATGGTAAATAAAACACTGTCATGTATTGTTTCAAACAAATGTTCATGCATGACTGGATGTGTCTATCAAAAAAAGAACATGACAGATATAATTCTTCGTGATAATCTTATTCACGTTTAAAACAACAATCGGTTATGATCCAATGACTGATATTAACAGTAAAAATGACAGTCGTTTATTAAGGTACCTTTTAATATTTTTCTTATAATTATTCATAACAGGTGTACATGACAGTTGTTTATTGCTATATGTTTAAAAACGATTTTTAATTTTTAAAATAGTAACTATTATTACTCAATATAAGAGAATTACGCTAGGCTTTTAGCGAGTTATATAATTACAATTGGCACATGGGCCCGTTATGATGGCACATGGGAGACTTATCCCTCATTTTTAAACTTGGGGACTATAGACAATTAGTGGTGGAACTTTGGACCGGCGGGCTGCCCGAAGCCCGAATTTTTTCGGGCTCGGGCGGGCAGGCCCATATGCCGGCCCGTCCAAGGTAGAAATTCGGGTTTGGGCTCGGGCAGCCCGAATTTTGAGACCACGCCAGAGCCCGCCGTCGACCGGCGTCCGCCGGAGTTGTTTTTGAATTTTTCCGTTCATGACCGACTGCCCGACCCGCCCAAATTGCCCGACCCGAAAATAAGCCCGAAAACCCAAATTTTGCCCGAAGCCCGAGTTGCCCGAAAATATTAGTTGCTACAAATTGGGGCATTCCGAGAATCAAACTCGGGACCTCTCACACCCAAAGCAAGAATCATCTTTCTATATAATGCCGGTTTTGTTCTTATAGATACTCGTGTTTTTCTACTCTATATCACTCTTCGTTCTATCTTTATCTATTTTCCTGTTCACAATCTCTCCTCATCCTCTTAATTATCCTCTTTTTTCTTCCACTTTCTTCACTCTCTTTGTGACTCTATATCAAAGTAACTTTCTACTTGCATACCACAATAAATTAATAATTTATCAAAAGTCACTCAATGATTGGTTTAATAACTTCATCGATATTTGATTATCTTTATTTTAAAAGACCAGTCACTCAATGTTGAAGCCTTGGTTTGCATTAAGGATTGGGATCGGGCCGATCAACGTCTACAAGATACAATTTCACCGGCAAGCCAAGAATGGATCGATGAATTTAATCGATTAACATTTAATTTTGAAGACGATCCCTCAGCTTCAAATTAAATTGTAAATTTGTAATTTGTAAATATGTATGTACTTTTTACATTGTATTTGTAATTTAATAAACAATGTAAGTTTGTACAATTTGTAATTCGTTACAAAATGATTGCACTCTTTTTTCCTTGCCAAGTTTATATCCCAATTGGGTTTTTCTTGGTAAGGTTTTTAACGAGACAATCATGAATTACAAATTTAAAAATTAATAAAGAAATAATTTTTTTATATAGTTCGTGTGTTCATTTCAAATTGTAATATATATATATATAAATTTTAACACAAAATAACTTAATATTAAAAAAAATTTAAATAATTCGGGCAATTTGGGCGGGCTCGGGCCACCTAATACAAGCCCGCGGCCCGTTCAAGGTGAAATTCGGGCTCGGACGGGCAGCCCAAATTTCTCGGGCGGCTCGGGCTCGGGCTCGGACAAAAACTCAGGCTTTTCGGGAGGTCGCAGGCGGCCCGTCCAAAGTTCGAGCACTATAGACAATTCCTATAAAAGCCTAAAAATTGAAAATTTTAAGTTGAAAATAAAAAAATAAAAAAACAATCAATAACATGAATCACGGCTTCTAGAAAGAGTCCCTATTGATTGTTTTAGACGTTTTACTGCTACCCTCATTCAATAACATATTTTAGTTGAATCCCTTCTTACTTGTTTTTTCAATGCCGTCAAAGAGCTTATTTTGTGGTGGTGACGCTCTTAGAGTGAGGAATAGTTAATTCATATAAGTACTAACCTAGTTCAGATGTATTTAACGTTTTTCGTTGTGCTAGTTGAACAGCACACTATTTCATTTAATAAAAAAAATTATATATAAGAAAAAAAAAA